TTTATGGTATGTGAATTACAAGAATACAAAATTAATATTTTAGTGACATTTTTATTTTTATAACATAGTATAGATTTATGGCAAATGTAAATGTGTATTTATAGCATCTTAATTTTTTCTGTTCTAAGTTTTATGTTTTAAAGAAACTAATATTATATCCAGAGATATATAGAATTGAAGTAAACTGTATATTGGTACTATGAAGACAGAATGTTTAAACCGCAAAAATCTGAATACAATAAAATGTATTGCAAGAAAAGACGTGATTGAGTTTATTTAAATCACACAGACAGCAATTATTTTAGCTTCATTTCTTACTTAAGCAAAGGTCTTGAAACTAAATTTGCTATGATGTCTTCATCATTTCCATCTGAAATATTTTCAATGCTATCAAGGTATATGAAATATCAGACCTCTTCTATTTTAGTCGCAGAAAATGTTATTGGTGTTCCTGGTCTGTAGATGATCTGGTTCTAGTTTTCTCAGTGTGGATTTTCAACCCTGTTAAATGTGCACAGAACAGGATGGCCGCATTTGTTTTGGCTTGCATGTCTCTGTGGCAGAGTTGCCAACTAACTGTCTGCTCACTCAAAACTGAACACCCTTACCCATGGGTGGGCAACCAGTGGATCCTGCCCATGTTGCCTTGCTGCTCCCCTGTCCCCAGACCTATCAAGATCTGGGAACAGGGGAGCACGTAGTCTCCTCCCCCACCAGGGGCGCATGGCACCAGACGGCTATCAAATTGACATGGGAAGAAGCTAAGTTTGCATCAAGAGACTATGAGAAATGGAAAACAGTGATGGCCCTGTGTTCTGTATAGAATGGAGATAACGTAACTGGAGTTGACATACATTAAACCGGCTTGACACCATCTTCACAGTGGGAGGTTGATGGGAGCTGTCCTGAGCAGTGTGCCAGGCTGTAGGGCAAGCAGAGTAGCCTGCCTGGGGCTCCCTGCTGCATCCGTGTGGCAGATCTAGTGGCTTGGTGGGCCAGAGTCAGCCCACGGGGCGTATTTTCCCCAGACCTGCTCTAAACACTATCTACACCAGGGATGGGCAATAGTTTTTAAATGGGGGCCTCTTCATACATTTCTGAAGTGGCCTCAGGCTGCCCTGGAAGGGGAAGTCCTCAGGCCGAAGAGGCAGGGTCAGGAGACTTCTTGTGATCCCCTGCCCACAGACTCTGATTGGCCTGGGGGGAGGGGGAAAGAGAGACGGGAAGCACGAGAAGTCTTTGCCCTCTGCCCCCAGTGCTTAGAGAGAATCACCAGCTGTTTTAAAACAGCTGGTAGTTCCCTCTAGGCAGCACAGCGGGAGGAGACTTTGTATGATCCCTCTGCCCCCAGGCCAATCATTTGACAAATCATGCCTTATTAGAGTTCTTTAATGGGGTCAACAAAGATGTGGACAAGGGGGATCCAGTGGATATACGTAGATTTCCAGAAAGCCGTTGACAAAGTCCCTCACCAAAGGCTCTTAAGTAAAATAAGTTGTCATGGGATAAGAGGGAAGGACCTTTCATGCATTGATAACTGGTTAAAAGACAGGAAATAAAAAGTAGGAATAAATGGTAAGTTTTCAGAGTGGAGAGACGTAACTATTGGTGTCCCCCCAAGAGTCAATCCTATTCAACTTATTTATAAATGATTTGGAGAAAGGGATAAACAGTGAGGTGGCAAAATTTGCAGATGATACTAAACTGCTCAAGATAGTTAAGACCAAAGCAGACTGACACGAGCTTCAAAAAGATTTCACCAAACTAAGTGACTGATCAACAACATAGCAAATGAAATTTAATGTTGATAAATGTAAAGTAATGCACATTGGAAAAAATAATCCCAATGGTACATACAATATAGCTAAATTAGTCCCCATCATAACTACTCAAGAGCGAGATCTTGATGTCATTGTGGATAGTTCTCTGAAAACATTCACTCAGTGTGCAGCGGCAGTCAAAAAAGCACACTGAAAGTTAATAATCATTAAAAAAGGGATAGAGAATAAGACAGACAATATCTTATTGCCTCTATTTAAAACAGTGGCATGCCCACATCTTGAATACTGCATACAGATGTGGTCACCTCATCTCAAAAATATATATTAGCATTGGATAAGGTTCAGAAAAGGGCAACAAAAATTATTAGGGGGTTGGAATGGGTCCCATATGAAGAGAGATTAAAAAGACTTGGACTTTTCAGTTCAGAAAAGAGGAAACTGAGGGGGGATATGATAGAGGTCTATAAAATCATGAGTGGTGTGCAGAGGGCGGATAAAGAAAAGTTATTTATTAGTTTCCTAAATAGAAGAAAAAGGGTCAACAAATGAAATTAATAGTCAGCAGGTTTAAAACAACCAAAAGGAAGTTTTTCTTCTCTCAGTGCACATTCAACCTGTAGAACTCCTTGCCACAGGATGTTGTAAAGACTAGTACTTTAACAGAGGTCAAAAGTGAGCTAGATAAATTCATGGAGGTTAGGTCCATCAATGTCTATTAGCCATGAGGTGTAGGAATTGTGTCCTTAGCCTCTGTTTGGAAATGGATGACAGGAGAGGGATCACATGATGATTACCTGTTCCCTCCGGCTACATCTACGCTGCATCATTTTTGCGGAAGAGGAAATGCAAATGAAGTGCTCATTAGCATTTCTCACGCTCTCATTTGCATAGTCTCTTCTGATCCTTTTTGCGGAAGAGGTTTTTGCAGAAAAAACCACAGTATAGACGGGGCCATTTTTCGCAAAAAAAACCTTTTGCACAAGATCATGTAAACCTCATTTTTTGAGGAATAAGGGACCTTGTGCAAAAAGGGGTTGTTTTTTTTGGCGAAAAATAGCCCTGTCCACACTGTGGTTTTTTTACGCAAAACCTCTTCTGCAAAAAGGCTAGGACGAGACTATGCAAATCAGAGCACAAAAATGCTAATGAGCACTTCATTTGCATTTCCTCTTGCACAAAAAGGATGCTGTGTAGAAATAGCCTCCCTCTGGGGCATCTGGCATTGGCCACTGTCAGAAGACAGGATACTGGGCTGGCTGGACCTTTGGCCCTTCTTATGTTTCAGACCCAGTATGGCCTTTATGTTGCAGCCATAACCTTTTAGCCTATGCCTACTATGGGGATTGCAGGGCGTTATGCAGGCAACACCTTGCATTTATTCAGTCACTCGTTATCAGAGTGGGGCTCCATCGGGTTAACATAAGTGTATCGGTTATGAAGGGCAATGACTGCAACATACACCAGGTGAGGAAACCCCCTTTTGGTACCCAGTATGGCCTTTATGTTGCAGCCATAACCTTTTAGCCTATGCCTACTATGGGGATTGCAGGGCGTTATGCAGGCAACACCTTGCATTTATTCAGTCACTCGTTATCAGAGTGGGGCTCCATCGGGTTAACATAAGTGTATCGGTTATGAAGGGCAATGACTGCAACATACACCAGGTGAGGAAACCCCCTTTTGGTGACGCGCTCTGAGTCCCATTGCAGGGCACCCCGCGTTGTGTGTAACTGAGCGAGGCACAGTCCCCGCCAGGGTGCGTGCCTGTGGGATGCGCGGCCGCCCCAGCTGAGGCAAGCCCGCGTCCCCGCC